CGTAATAAGCGCCCTTCAACCCCCCCGTTGTGGACCCGGGGGCATGTTGAGTCCACCAACCCGTTTGCCGTTGCCAGGTTTGCGCCCCTGTGTTGGTGGAGGAAAGGATTCTGGTGGTTGGGGCACTGGTTCCCAGGAACAATGTTCCTTTGCCCAACGCACCACTTCGGCCATAACTTCACCTGGACGGGTGGTTGAATAGGCCCGGTTCAAGCAATCGGCTGGTCACTCAAAGCCTGTGCATTGATTACATCATGGAATGTTGCACAAAATTTTTGAAAATTATGGCTTATACTCTTTTTTTAGTCTTGGCGATTTTTTTAGGAATTAGAATTTCAAAATGTACACTTTCATGTGTTTTTTGCCTAGAGTCGTATGCCCAGAGCGGCGGTGGCTCGCGGAGTAATCAGGTGGAATGAAAGTACTTTTATTATTATTCTGCGTGCGGCGTATATCATCGGAGTATCAGCGAGATTGCTGCAGGCTGGAGGCCATATAGCATAGCATTATCCTTGTGATACTCCTAGTGGGTGAGAACAGTTTGACGAAACAATATAACCTTACCATGACACAGACCCCCCTCAAACAATCAAAACGTCCTCTTGATTACTACTGATCCTGATGTTAACAACCAAGACTGTCCACCTCTATTGTTTACTGGCCACGATTTAAATTGTAAGGTGAGACCACTGACAATACTCCATTACAGCTGGAACCCTTTTGCCGTATCTAAAGGCATACAAAGGAACCGCAGGAGATGTGAGAAATGTTAAAACGTTCTGGTACTGGTTCTTTACTTGTTGAATACACTAAGAGGCCACCAGGCAAACAACCTCCTTTTCAACTAAATCAATTTGTCGGTATTCCGTGTCAGTCTCTGCCCACTGAACACTTAACACCAGCAAAGGGCATTGCTTGAGAGACCGTGATAGACTTTTGCTGATATGATGGAAGCTGATAATGCCTCTGAGGATGAAGGACCAAGGTGTGTTATTCGTCGAGCGTTTCACTACCCGAAAATACAGCCAAGATCCAGCAAGCCAACGCACTTACTTGTTTTCATTTGTCTACTCTACTGCTCAAAAAGTCCAATCAAGAGGCTGCAGTTTTTGTCACATCAAAGTGGAAACGCATATTCACGAATCCACTGGAATGTTTCAAAGTACAAAAAGTACTATGGTCATGGTATAAAGTACCTGCACATTGTCTGTTGTATGTGCTCACTGCGTTGTGAAGACCACACAACAGAAATTCTGGTACAGTGATTACAAAAATGCACCAATTGTTCAGGGAGAATCATTCCCTCTTTCTCTAAAGAGTGTCCAATTTAGGAAGCACCAGATGGAATTACTTGAGGTTGAGTACACTGAAAATATTAGTTTTGCAGGAAGCAAAACAACTTGTTATAAAAATCTGACCCACAGGAAACATAATGGCTTCAAGAGCCAAAGCACCGTCATGGCCATCCACTGAGTTTTCCATAAATCTTCTTCCGGGTTCCCCAAACCAACTTGACTTAGGTGAACACCGATTCTCCACAGATTTTCTTACCTACCCAATATCTACTCAGACTGCTGAGCCACTTCTATGCCAATTCACAAAGTCAAGTCAGGGTCTAAGCTTCTGTTGCATAGTTCAAATCATCCACCAGCCACCCACAAAGTCCTCGAAATCTTTGTCTAATGTACTAACAGGTTCCTAGAGGAAAAAAATAAACCTAAGCCTGACGGACTGTAACAAAAAGCAAAGTGGCAGGAGCCCCAAAAAGGGGTCTGAAAATAAAAATCCAAACTTTACAGCAAATACGGATCACTTGAGGATATGGACGTGTCCGAAAACGTCCAAATCGGGGCACGAGCATGCCTCCGAAGGTCACGAGGTGTGAATGCAGTAAATCCCGAAGATAGTTTATTCAACACCCATCATTGCAATTGGAATTGCAGGGACTACGGCACTAATTACAATGAAGGTTACAGTTATTAGTCCAGGATTGTATGCCCGTCAATTTTGTCTAGCAGGAGACATGTTTAAAAGAAACAGGGCTTGGATCTTTTGACCTGCGTCATTTCAGTAACTATCATTATTTCTCACCTCCAGGTATTGGGGCCACTGGAGGTTCTTCAATCCTAGTCGACAGAATATTTATCCATAGCCCTATTACACTTACTTCCTAATCTTCAAGCAGTTGCAGTCACGACTCACTTTACACGTTGCATTTACATTTATGCTGTATCTCACCGTCTTCAGTCATTCCAGAGATGATCTTCCAAACTCTGTATGACCAACTCCCTAAACCCTAATATTGTTGGCGGGACTTGTGCCTACAACCCTCTTTGGGTGCAATACAAACGCTAAAGGTAAACTACTGGAGGTTTGTTCAGACAATGATTTATGTATTTATAATGATGGTTCCAACACGTATTTACACCCTGGTACAGGAACCTATTCTGCTCGACTTATCAATCACGAATTCAGAATTACTAAATGAATTTGAATGGTCAGTCCATGACGACCATATATTAGGTAACTCCTACTTACTACGTATAACCAGCCCATCTGATATTACTCCATATTCGAGATGGAACTTAAAAAGCTAACTAGCTGGCCAAGCTCTGTGTTGTAGCAGACTTAAGCCGAACTCTTCCCGGTAGAGATGTACTGATCTGTAAAGATTTCTCTGATGAACTAATTAACATTGCTGATGGAGTGTATCCCCAAATCCTCGCAATTCCACATCACGAAAACCATGGTTCACCAATGAGTGCAAACAGGCTAGGAAGGCACGGAAGAAAGCTGAAATGTTCCGTAGCATCACCATGGTCCACCATTTTGAATAATTCAAATTTTAAATGTAGGGGCGGCAAGAAGCCAGTAAAAGCATCAATGCAGCGACGCCGCCGAAATAAATTCACGGGCATGGTATCAAAGAAAGTATGGAATATGATCCGAAATAAAGGTAAAGGTTTAAATCAGCACCAAGCATCTTAAAGATGGAGACGAATTACATTAACTAGTCAATCTGATATTACCGACAGGCTGGAGAAACTTTGGCCAAACATAGCTGTATCCAGATTATCTGTTCCAAAATTATAAAAACGACAGGAAAAAGCAATAATTTCAAGTTGGATAATGGAAGATTACACAGTGCTTGTTTTTGTTCACTGAGCTTCATGCACTGGCTGCAGTCAAGCTCATGATGCGGCTCCAGGTGCTGATAACATACATTATCGGCTGCAGAGCACTACAGGATTCATGCTTAGAAACCTTTTAAACGTTTTGATGATATTTGGACCTGGACCAATTTCCTTCTTCATGAAACGTGCTATTATTGTCCCTATCCTAAGCCTGGACGTGTTCATAGTCTTCGAATCGACCAATCTCCATTAACTAGCTGCGTTTGCTGCAAGACCATGGGCATGACCAAATAATCGACTTGCATGGTGCTTAGACTAATAACCTTACTTAGCAGACATTCAATGTGGTTTCCATCAAAACAGAAGTACTATCGTCATTTAGTGCGTTTAGAATCCTTTGTTAAGAAATGCCATTATTAAAAACGGCAGCACGGTATGAATGCTGATTTGAAAAAGCATGTGGCCGCCACATATGAAACATGGGATTTTAAAGTTACGATTTTTGGTTGAGGCCGTTTGCCTCTTTATGTCTGGTTTTAACGGACAGGCAATTACAATCAGAATCAGGGGCGTCCCTAGGAGGCAGTATTTTATCTGTCACACTCTTTAGTATTAAAATAAATAGTCTTTCAAAGGTTTAAGTAATGAAGTTAATCGATGGATCTCTTTTCATGGACCGTTTTAATATTTCTTGCCGTGGTAAAACATACGAACTATTAGAACAAATTACAAATTTGTCTCAACAAAATTAATAAATGGGTGTCTCGAAAGCGGGTTTAGGTGCAAAGTGTCAATATTTATCTACCATTTTTGGCGGAAATACAAGCCCATAAGATCCTGAATTATCATTCGTAAGCACACCCATCAAAGTTGTCAAAGAGCTAAATTCCTTGGGTATCATCACTTTTGCGTTGCGTGTACTGCACATATCAAAAATCTAAAAGGCAAATGCCTGAAGGCACTCGACTTGGTAGTCGTTTCCAGTTCAAAGTGAGGAGGACCAAGAGCACCCTCCTTCATTGTATAGATCACTGAGTTACGATCAGAAACTTGATTCTGGCTCTATCGACATATGGTGGGGCCTGTAAAGCAGCCTCAAACACTTGATTCTATCCGCTCACCCAGGGTCTAAGACTTTGTCTTGGGTCTTTCAGAACTTCTACATTTGACAGTCTCGTTTGGGAGGCCGATGAGCCATCTTTAAAACTTCGCCAAATATCAAATTGTCCCTACAATATATCACGAAGTTATATTCTAATGAATCAATCCTGCTCACACTTGCGTTTTGAAATCCTCTTTTGAGGATTTGTATATCAAAACTAACTGCTTGTTCCACCTATAGGGATAAGAATCAACAATACATTTCAACGCAACTTTGAGGTTGGAGAATATATCTCTTTCCGTCTTCTTTCTTTTCATCCTTGGCAATTGGTAGGGGCCACAAGTTGACCTACTTACTGATAAAGGTTTATAATCCGAAACTAACGAATTACGAGTATAGAAACAAGAATATAATCATTAAAAGTGCTATAATACATACAAAATCCATATTTACAGATGGGTCCAGGATGTAGCGCAATGGCATGTGCCACTGTCATTGGAATCCAGAACAATATCTTCTAAGATACCGGATAAAACCTATATATTTACAGCAGAAACAGAAACGCCATCTTAGCAAGCTCTTAAATATATTCAAAGACATCCCAAACGCAAACGAAATATATTATTTTCACGATCTTTCTTGCCTTCCAGGCTATTAAAAGAAATCTCTCTTGCAAACATCCATGTTGAATATTAGATTGTATAATGATCTTGCTGCTAGCCCAATGACATCAATCAACACCCAGCCAGGTTTGGAATACGGTGGCGATCTTTGCTGCCAGGCAGCACTCAACAAATCTGAGCCACCACTTCTTATTCTATACTCCTGAGTTACAAAGCTAGCGATAGAACTTACGTCCCGTGATCTGATCCACCGAAAATTCAGGACACCCATTGAAGTAGGGTATCAATAGAGTGCATGCAATGAAACCCACAGCAATCCGGTTTACACCTGCTTGAGGTTGTCAGTCCAGATTTGAGAGAGGTCATTATGCGACGATGTCGCATTGTACATACTAGAATATACTCACGAATATTTATTGAAGGCGAAGATCCTCTGGTATAACATCCCTTGTGATGAAGAGGATCACGGTCAAGCATATCTCGCTTGACTGCATTGAATATTCCATACAAGAGATATATATTCAAATCACGAACTATAGAAGGATCTTTTTAATAATATAAGTTCTCATTTAAATTATTGCATTTTTAAAAAGAATTCAGATTTGTTAAATAATTTGTAAATGGGTAAATATTTTATTATTGGTAGTTTGAATTGATAGCTACAGGATTGTTGAGTAGAAGCATGCCCATAAAGGGGGTTTGAACGTAAATTATCACCAGGGCATGACAAAAGCATTTTCAGAATCCAGTTTAAGTTTACAGGTTTTTAATCGCTTGAGTATTTTTTTGTGTTTTTTTTTAATGTGGCACAAATCTCAGCATCAACGCCAATGGCCGCTAGGGATGGTGTAAATCCAGCTAGGGTCCATGCTGGTAGCAAAAGTAATGTAAGTCCCCATAGGCCTTAGTATGGTGATCTACCGCTTCCCGGTTGTTGGCGATCTATAACCCGTATTTTATATTTATTATTGTCTTCTTTAATTTGGAATATTTTAACTGCGCTAGTTCTATATTTATAACTGTGATTCTCTAGTCTTTTACTGTACATCGTCGACAGGTTTTAATCTTCAAAATGTTTCTACTTTTATTGTGCATGGCTTGACACGTCACGATATATTGCAATAGTTAAATATTCCTCACTCACTCCTCTTCGATTGTCAACCGACCGAAGATCTTTCAATACGACAGCTCTTCACCAATGCTTGTCCCGGTATCATTGTTGACTTCCTCACAATTTATCACCTTCAAGATCTCTTAATCCGAACTTTACAACAGGGCTGCTTTCAGGATGAACTAGAAAAGGGTGTAAGTCTATCGCGACGTATACGACAGATACGGCAACTGTCCAAATAATTGTTTTCAGAGGACGCCTTAACAACACCATTTTCGATGTATTTCTTGACCGACCATACTTTTTTAAACCTTATACGGGCCGTGGGCTAAAATCCTGTAAGGTCATCTAGTAATAGGAAAATTACAACAGGCGGAATGCAGGAACTATATATCAAAATTATCCTGGGATGTGCTGACGGTAAGAATCAAAACTTTCCTTTTTAATGGTGCACATTAAATTGATTCACGGCTCCTGAAAGTGCCCTCGCGGGATTCTGATTACACGGCCTTGGTACTTGACCTGTTGAAAATTTAGCAGCTTTTTTATAGTTGCTTATGTAGCCAGTAATTTTGATGTTTCCATAATAATTCAATAATTAGTCCATATTTATTTAAAGTTCAAATTTCTAAATTGAATTTAGCAATTAAACCTTTTAGAGATTGTTGATCATTACGCGATCAATCATACAAATGGACTTGTTCAGAAACAAATTAGATCTCTGTGATTACACACAATGCCATTTAGAATGTGGACCAAATGCAGCATATGTTATATTTGGGATTACTATTAGCAAAATACAAATTCTAGAACTTTTGTTGGGTTAGATCCCATCCAGGTTCAGACCAACACACCTAGAGTCACAAAACTTAGAAATCGAAAAGCTTCTCAACCCGCTCAGCCACCGCGAGGTCATCCCGGATGGTACTCAACTTACAACACATGTGCTAGAATCTGTACTTTATGAGACCAGTGTAATCCCAAATATAACATATGTTGTGTTCATCTCGGACATAAACAATAGCATACATTACATTCATCTGCAGCTGGATTTAATTAATAGCAATTGTGTAATTGATATAAATGCCGAAAATCAAATGCATATAATGAGAGCTATCACATTTGAATTGCAGCAATTTAAATTTCTGTCGGACAAGCTTCTGAAAACAAGTTTTGATCAACGAGACTTAAAAGATGTGGCGAACTGGTATTTGGAAATTTCTACTGAATGGAATGTATGGAGTCAGTAATACACAGCTATGCTGATAATTTCAATGTCAGAGTCAAGTTTATTTCCAGAAAAGGCTACAGGCTAAAATACATTAAAAATACAGTGTCTTCAGGAGCTGCAGTGACCTTTCAAATAAACTCACTCCCACTATTGCCCAGTGGTGAAGGGATGTTTCATATTGGATGTCCTGTATTGTAGTAAATGTTTAATACTTACAAGCTGGTTTTACATTTCTATATAGCTGAGAACTGAGATGTTTGCTTCGCGTGACAGCTGTTGCAGAAACAACATATTATTAAAGTGCTTATATAATGTTTTAGTCACGATGTCGCTGAAATGTGCCGATGTGGGCTTTATATTTAACTTCCTCTCCTTCACTGTCTAACGTGTTGCAGGAAGAATAGAGATTGAACAATTCAAAGGCAGAATCTGTATAGATGCATTCCAGCCTTAGTAGTAGAGTGGTTAAAAAGAAACGCGGCAGCGAAAGAGCCAGGAGCAAGTCTCAAATAGTACCGCTGGGGTGGGCTGGACGCCACAACAACCACCGTTTCGTGCTGACCTGCTTCTTGAACTTACGCCTGCGCTTCCATCGACCTGAATGCAGTGCAAGCAGTGACTCAATAATACCCCGACCATAGAGCGATACCATTGATAAATAAAAAGCTGCCATCCTTTATGCCCGTGACAGTATATGCTACAAAGCAGAGTCGGTTAATACAGGTGGCGAGCTGTATCATGACTATATATTTGTTTCAGCTGCATTACAGATGTATGATGTTGTCTGCAAACAATCGAGCCTGGACCAGACAGACCAGTAATTGACACCAGGTGATACGATGAAGCCAGAACATGTGTGTCGATCACTATCAAAATAAATAGTGATACCAGGTGTTCCACGAAAGTAAGCGTAATACTCAGATCACTAGTGGCGCCTGTCAAAATATGCAAAGTCTAGTCAATTACACAAATGAATTCGAGATCTTGGGCAATAAAATAGTGAATTTTTGAGTCAAAATGGGAATTTCACCAGACATAATTTTTGTCGCTCGCGCTCCGGTCTTATCTACCATAAAACGTTTTGCGGCGCTGCTGAGACCTTGGATGTTGTACCTGCGATAGGCAGCTTCTGAGCAAGAGTTGGATGGCAACTCTTCGAATTCTTGGTAAAAGCAGCATGCTGCCTAATTGTTCCTCCAAAAGGTGTGAAATGGAAGCTTACCCAAAGTTGGAGCTGGAATGATTGTTCATAATAGAGGGCGTTGTGTGAAAGTTGAAATTATCCGTTTTTATCCTTACAGCCTTGTGGAGTTGTTTCGTGTCACTTTGAATGCTCATACACAGATCTAAATGTAAATTTGTGTATGTGAGATTCCGCTTCTTTGTCCAAAAAGTACATGTATTATCCCAATTTTTTACAAACATATTTATCAATAGAAGAGTCAGCATATTCACATCATGTTTCTCGGTGAAATGACAATCAGTTTAGAACGAAATGTACGGAACCTCTGGACATAAATAGGTGGAATTATATATGTGTTTCACCACTTTTTATTTATAAAATGCCCGTAGATCGTAAACGAGTTTTCCCTTTGAACTTTGTCATGGTGGATACAGGTACACGAATTTGAAATGTTTGACAGAACGTAACCGATTCACGGTAATAATTCCCGCTTGTCTCAAATACGCTGCGAAATTATCGAGAAAGTCAGCTACATGATAGGGGCGGTGGGGTGCTTCTAGTGGAGGAGAGTAGAGTGTTAGCTCGTCACGAAGACCCGAGTTCGATTCCATACAAAGGACCTGCAATGTGAAATATTTCTGGAGTGATATTTTGCAAATATTGCTTTGAGGCAAGATTAAAACCTAACTACTCGCTCACTACTTGATGTGATAAGAGGATTATGGTTAAATGCTAAAGAGACGGATGTGGTGGTACACTTGGTGGAGTTCTACCTCAGTTAACATACGTGTTTATTGGCTGATGTATCACGTATACCCACACTGTTTTTGTTATTTGAAGCAAGGGCGGTCATGGGAACAACTTTAACTTTACATGCGGGGCATCAGACTTTGGATGGCGTTCTCTGGGATTGGGTTGTTGTTGTTGTTTAAAGACGCACCCAGCAGTATTCCAGCTATGTGACAGCTGACTGGAACGGGCATATCTTGTTCTGTTTCTCTCTTTTCCCGAGTTTGTGCATTCTACCAATAGCAGCATCACGCACTGACTCAGCGCTCAATGCAGGAGAAGCAGTCATGAAGTCATATGGTCCCTGGTATGGTGATTTATCTTCGGTTGTTGGCAATGCCTTTGTTCACTTTATAATGTGCTTGTCTTTTCCTGCGGTTAAATGTTTGGAATTTTTCATACTAGTTTTACACATTGAAATTAACTGTGATATTCTAGTTATTTTACTCTCAGCACAGAACAGGCGACTATGTTCTTTTTCATTTTATGGAATTTACAGCTTTCTTAGTCCAAGGACTTTGTTGAATATTCCATCACAAAGGGATAGCTATTTTAAATCCACGAGCTTTGGGATCTTTTAATGTCAGTTTGTTTGTGTGCATTTTTAAAGAATTAGATTTGTTAAATGATTTTGTAAGTAGATGCATATTTTATAATTGGAGGTATAAATTAGTAACTCTCAAATTGTTAGTGGCTGTACCCATAAAGGGGTTCCAAAACATGTAGAAATTATTGTCCTGAGAAGTGTACGTAGTGTACATGGCGATCTAAATTTAAGTCTACCATGTTTTAATCGTATTTTTTCATTTCACTGTATGGCTACATCTCAGCAAAAACGCCAATAGTTGAAGGGACGGTGTAAATCCAGCTAGGGTCCCATGCAGGTAGCAACAATGTAAGTCCCCATGGACCTAGTATGGGGATCCACCTTCAGTTGTTGGCGACAAGCCTTTGTTTTTACATGAATTGTCCCAAACCAGTTTTCTACTTTTAAAGATATTTGCTAGCAAGTTTAAATCATTTTGCTTGATAATCTAGTGCTTTACTGTCCATCGTTATTGGAGTTATATATATATTATATGTATGTATTCTGCATTTAGAACTAGTTTTAGTCGATATGGCTGATGTGACTTTAAATCTTAACTCCTCCTCACTCTTAGTACCATCACCATCATACTGATCTGCTTGCATCAGTATTCTGCACTACGTTTACTATTATTGAACAGTCTAGCCCGTATTGTGGCCCATAAGAAAAGGATCTTGTTGTATTTCGTGAAATCAGTGTTCTCTGGCATATTTTGAGACTGACTTTTGCCCCAGAATGTTGCCAGATTTACAGCATCATTCCCTTGTTTTAAATTCCGGATTCAGGAAAACATTCGGTCATTGTCCTGATTCACAGAGCCTATTTTAGGTTGTAAACCAGCACTATCAAGAGGAGATCATATACTAGTCACTTACTGTGGGCATGTTCATCACAAAAATGCTACAACTGTTGGACAATGTTCATTATGAACTAACAATTACAATTCAAGCAATCAGATGCTAGATAACCCTGGAGGAACCGAATAATGGCTGATCAGGTTGGTTTCCTCTATTATTGTAGATTTACTTGGACCAGTTTGCCGAAATATTTTTCTTCTTGTTTTATTTTGTGCAGTCTGCTCATTTCCACATGAGTCATCACACAAACTGCATTTCCATGTTTGGGTCCTGGCTGTCTGAAACAGATTTCATTCATGCATTTTCGTTCAGGTTTGTGCATTTTACTTAAATCGCTGAATTGTACAATTGTATTCGTAAGGAAAATAGACCTCTTTATATCTCCTGTACTTCACAAAATATTCTAGGGCATCTTGGAGACTGATTTTTGCTTTTAGATGTTTTAGAATCGGTGCACTCAGTTTAAGATTTACTACGCTTCTCTGTCGTTTACATTCGTCACAGAAATGATCGCAAAGAAGAAACAAAGGTGTTGATGTATGCGTCAAAAGAAAAGAGGTCAACTAGATCCGTCATACATTTGAAATCTCAGAAAATAATACTTTTTCCAGGCAAAGCAGAGGGCAGTTGTAAACCTTACACATAATAAAGTGAACGGCTCTAATTAGTGAAACTTTTTTAAAGAGGCTGCATGGCAGAGGCCGTGATGTCAATGCTAACAGCACGATGAGAATTCCGTAGATTACATATTGTTCCCAGTTTGCTATTGACCAAAGGCTTCTCGATAAGGGTTTGAAAATTTACCAAAGTTAAGTCTATGCGAAAATAGGTAATTTCGCTCCGCTACGCCGACATATTTGCTGGTATCTGCGCGATGCGAAACACGGAAAGCGCGGTTAACCATGAAAAACGTATGAAATGCGGGTACTATGCCAGAACGCGCAGATCCAGATCAGCAGTTTTACGAATGGCGGCGTCATTTCACATAAATATCGATGCAACCGCCGGAAGTTTGGTATATGCGTTCGTCTTTACATTTCTGTAAAGTGGTCTTGGCAGAATATAATTTTCATACCCAATAACCACAAGCGCATTATGCAGAGGTTGTCTATCACCGAAATGCGGCGGTAATGCCCCTACTTTCTTCTCTGGATGTTTTCTGGAATTGAATTTGTCTTAAGAGAGGCGCGCATTTTGCAGGTAACTTATGAAGGTTAGAATTAATAAAACACGATAAGACATAATTACTTGGTAGCGGAATCAACTGTACCACAGCATCGGCCGCGGCTTTGTATCAGAGCGCAAAAGGATTGTACAGTGATGCCACAGGTCGTGGGAGTGATCTTTTAATGATGTCTTATTTAATAAACTTAAAGCGCAAAGGTGAGGTGAGGTGGAAATTGGGTTGCCGTCGTCTTAGAATTTTTCGCTCATATGACGACGGGCATGCGTGTGTATGGCGATAATGCGGCTGCGCTTGTACTGGCCGGGCAGAGCTGGTTTTATAATTGCTAACCCACTGGATCACCATGCCGCAGTGAAGCATGAATGCCCTCAGGCCTCCAGGCCGACCAGTCCTTGATGTACCCATTAATGCTGAGCGCCAGACAGGGACCCAGCAAATTTTATGCTTTTAACGTCTTTTGGTATAACGGGTGGGGATCGAACCACTGACCTTCCGCTCTCGGGCGGACGCTCCTCACGCACGGGAGGTGGTCTTAATGCAAAAAGAGCAAGTCAGTTGTTCACCTGAACAAACACGAAAAGCCATGAAGGCTAAGTCATATCAAGGATTAGCATCGGGCATAGGCGCGGAATGCTGTTCAAAATTTCAAACATTGAAGGTTGAATTCATCCACAGGTATGTTTTGAAATCGGATCTTGCAAGATCTTATGACTGATACTGACCAAAGTGCAAGCTTTCACACATCTAAGTAGTCTTCTTAGCGGTGGATATCCCTGAAGCAGAAGGGTGATTTAAATTTGCGCGAGGTGGTGCGGAAAAAGTTTACACTGTTTACAGCGGCTGAAGGATCGATAACAGGGCGTTAGGGTAGAGATGCTTGAAACAGGTTAAGATTTACGGCGAACATACATTGCGGTGACAACCGGAACAATACGCATGAAGCCTTTTCGACGTAAAACCATATTCTCCGTAAACCACTGTTGTCATATATCAGTCGTCCTCGGTAACAGTTGGTGTTGGCGTCGATTCAAACTTACAAAGTCGTGGGTCTGGGAATAAGTGATTGCTGCGATAAGCGCAGAAATGATACGTTTGAGATTGACGTCCGGTGCAGTTATCGTTATCTTTATTTCGGTTTCCGGTTGGCAGATCCAGTGGAAGGGCTTTATACGACTGGCCGCTATAGGAATGTTCGTTTACTGGCGCGGTGGAAAATGTCGAATTTACCCGCGACAAACAACTTCACGAAATATCTTTGCAGCCGGAAGTTACATCTCTTGGTTTTATTTATCTGCATTTGTTAATGTATTTGACGCCACCAGATCAGGATAGCCACTGGCTATTTCTTTGTTTTTGGTATCATATCCCTATATTTCTCAAAAGCCGTCACCACATATGTACATCATCTTAAAGTATTTGTTTTGTCAAACGCTTGTCTGGAAGCAGATATAACATATTATTTCAATTATAGCTGGGCAACGACCGAATTAGACAGAAATATATCAATTGAAAGTGTTGTAGACATGCATGGAAGACATAGAAAAACAAAGGGTACATTTTGTTCGAATTTACAAGGAGGCGAAATGTCGACCTACCACATCAGATTAATGGATTAATGGCAATAAATTTTCCAGAGACAGTACTTCATACGTCAAATATAATAAACAAAGAAACCATGCGATCGTCTGATATTTAAATCAAGTACGGAGCCGTAATATGCAAGTACTGATTCGAGGTTGCGCCCTTCGTGACAATTCCGTTATATTTCATGCAGAAACTGCTTCATGTAATCATGAACTAAATTACGAACCAGGTTTCGTATATATGTATGTTATATTATATAACAACACGAAACATTATGAGACGGATGGTGAGAGAAAATATGTTTCGCGGTTATATAAATATTAATATATAGTTTTCCGCGGCATCGCTCGCCACATTGAAAAGTTCCAATCTATAATGGTTGATCATTCCTTAAAGGCTGTTATAGTACGTATTTACAAAATAAAGGCGAAGCATATATCTTACTGCCAATATGTTTGCTCAGTTTCCTGAGTAAGAAAGAACCATAGTAGGTTTTATAAGTGCCAACGGGTGCTTCGAAGCTATTTATTATCCGTGGATCTCTGATGTGATGCGCGGGACGTTGATATGACGTCGTGGCGGTAGTATACGATGCGTAGCGGTAGCTGTATCGCTTGTTGGAGCCTACGCGCTGATAGTGGCGGGTCAGATTGGTCTCTTAAGGATAAAAACACATCGCTGCGAAAAGCCCTCACACTATCAGACTCACTGAACTAAGGAAACTTCCTGCGTATACATAAGGCCTTGATAAAACAATAAAGCAATGGGGTATGAACCGCCGCTCTGATTATTTACCTTTGGCTGGATTCCAGTTTTGATATTTACTATCGCAATCTGCAAGCTTACACCGGAAAAGCATCATCTACCTGAAAGCGATCAGTTCTGGACGTCTATAATACTGTTCCCCGTTAGCGTTACTGTATTGTCTGAAATCGACTCTCCGGTTGAAAGGTTGGTTAATGTACTGGATTTTGATCGATATCCATAAAAGATAAACAGATCAGACAAATGATCCTACTACTCAGCCTGGCGGAATCTTGCGGTGAAGAACTCAGCGTCTTCACCGAATAGTTCTTAAGGGGACGGAACGGAGGATGAAGACTTGAAGGCCGAATATATTTGCTGCCGTAGGTCTGTTCGCTGTGGTATCACTGTTGTATAGTATTTCTTCCAGACAAGAAGGGATAGCATTTTACATTAACGCCAGCTAAAGGCGAATTCAAACAGCTACGCCAGATATATCGTGAGTCGGCAGCACTCCTCGCGGCAGTTCCACTGTACCTGTAGATGCTGGCGGCGCAATGTTTGCCTGCTGTGACAGATGCTGATGCCTGCTTGCTGACTTACTGCCTCCTCATGTTTTGCTGCACGAACCACGGCTGTGTAGCTTTCTCCGTCAGCTGAGCACGGCATTTCACGGTATCTGGGAGATTTCCATCCGCGTCATGTCTTTTACTCGACATAAGTGGTGACGCGGTGTCCTGGATCTGTGATCCACTGAAATGAGAGGACATGAGTAGACTGGGGACGTCTTTCCATACTGGCGTACACTGTTCTGCCACAAATTCTACCCGCAGCGGATGGTGGCCTGAAAGTTTTGTAGCTCGTTTGACGAGAGTGTCCAGTTCATTGGTGCGCTGTCGTAGCGCAGCCTGACCCATGGGATGATGGATGTGGGACCATTATCTGACATGATGTACCGCTACTCGAGGTAGCCCAGCTATGGAGATCAGATGACAGCCGCGTGTGACCTATAAACATAAATAAGATATTTTTAGCAGCATCGTTCCAGGATATATAGAAAGAGATAGAGACTATCACGGATAATGTTAGCATGGATATGTAGATAGATGGCTTACATTACCATTAACTTACCACCAAGAAACACACCAGCATATAGAGATTCCCGACTCATCGTCGTCAGCCGACCAGGATCCGGGTAGTAGCACTTCGAGGTTTGCGCAGAACCGGCGAAGGTAAAACACATCTGATGTTGTGGGTGGAGTGTGAATTGAGTACAAATCGGTTTAGAAGACAAATGCGTCATAGTCCGACGTTTCACCAGGCCGACTGTTTGCCGGCTAATCCCGTAGGGAACGATGCCTCAACAACTGGTGGAAGCCAGCTTCTGCATGGCGAAGGGGCTGAAGCTGAAACCCTCCTGGTGTTAATACCGGCTCAATCTGTATGTTCCATTAAGCCCTTTCTGGGTCCATCATCCTGGTGCAGATGCCACCACCTGAAGTAGTGAGGGCGTCAGTTGCCGTGTTGTTGCATCGTCCATGTGTTCTCTCTGTCTATGCATTCTTCACATTTCATGCATCCTGGGCAATTCTTTTACTCTGGTGCTTGACTTGCAAAGAGCTGGGCGACTGCGCTTCTGCATCAAAGTCTTGGCTTGTTTCGCACAGGTACAAATATGGTTGTATCTTAGGACAAATGGGATCTGGATGTAAGGATTGCACCCTGCAAACTCAGCCTCTTCATGATCAGATGATAGTCCCGCGGGTCTAAACCTTCACGCACGATAATGGCGACCCGGTATCTCGAGTAATCAACTTATTGAATACATTCAAAGGAACCAGATCACCATCAGTCTTCTCATGTGTCATGTTAGTGATGGAATGCTTTGGCCAGAAGTTTTGCACGAAATCCATATGGAGGAGTAACATCAACAGCATAGGAAGGGATCTTCAACTACGTCACTAGAGATGCTAGCAAGTCCTCTGCTACTACAGAAGCTGTGTAATATTGTCCATGTTCTAGGTTCAAGTCATCAAAGAGCGGAACACGGTATGCGAAAACCAATGGTGTTTCGTATGGCGATAGGATTTCTTCTTCCCTCGGGTAAACATGATATTGCTTCACACTGGGTGGTGGTCACAGATCCATGCGAGACACCGAAGATAAGGTTATCAGACTCGATTAATCTACTTGTTGATGTTCGCTGGTAAATTTTCAGCTTTGATTATGCATATCACAAAGCCATCTGAGATGACAGTGAACATGTTCAAGATTGATAGCTCGAATGCCAACATAATACTTGGTACCATGAATTATGCCACTGGTAGGGAGATGTTTTGTGGTAAAGGTCCTGCGCTTTCGATAGCGAGGGTCTGGGAACGCGGAAAAGAAAATATCATATTATTTTATCATGCTGTGACATCGGACTTTTAAAATATGATCGTAGAATTTACTCCCAATATTTTATATCCCTTTTTAAATTATATCTTTATCAGATATAAATATATGAATCACATGTGAGATGATTCACTTAACACCTATTTTTGTAAACTCCAGAAGCAGACTGTGTATTCCTCCAAATGCTTGTCTGTGTTTCTTACGGAACAAATCCTTGCCCAGCAGGCTCTGTCATTAGTGTGGTTTGCTGCATCCCGGGAGCGTCAAAGTGATCTCGGCAAAATGACTAGGATCTGGTCACCCCAGAAACATTGCTACCAGGGTGCTATGGTCGACTCTTATGTCTGGGATAGAAGACTCTGTATTTAGAATCTAGGTACTAAGCTCTGATGCTTGAGCGACATTATGCTCCGTGTTCTAGGGCTCGGCCATATGGCGAAGTGAGGACTATCTCAGTCCTCCTTACCATGCTTGCCAAGAAACTTTCTTCACTAGTCTTAAATATTCCAGCTCAAAAGAAACAGATTCGGCGGCTTATGCTCCTCATATCGCTGAATGTGTAGTATATTTGTATCCATCTCCCAATACCCGACGTACAGGGCAGTCATAATGCTGCAGGATAGATTGGGTTTAGGCTGGGGTGCCCGGACATCCATAAGCCTGTGTGAGGCGGCTGACATATCGACAGGTCGGGCATGGGGGTCGTTACTTCGCTAACCGCTGCCGCTACAGTCACATCAATTACGACTGATGAGGGGAGTCACAGGAGTGCCGCTGTGTTCCTGAGTGTTCCCTCACGTCTCCTCTTGCTTGATCCTGTTTGCTACAGCTGGGGCGGTAACTTTACCAACGGACTTTCGAAGATGTGCATCATTCTCAGCCCGAAGCAGATAAAATGGAGTTTCCCTCCTGAAGTGTCTGTGTTAGTTGGATTGTGCTTGACTGATCCTTCACAGATGGGTCATAGTTGACTTTAACCGTACCATTTGTTGGTTCGCCACCTTCATACGACGTTCAACATTTAGATGATACTTCTTAGGAAATGTTTGATTTCTGCATCTGAAAACCCTTTTAGATAGAGATTGACAAGTATTGGTTCAGATCCATTGACGATGGTTGCGTTGGTGGGTAGTGACCGAAAGCTTCCACTATCGGAAATTAGGAATCAATCGAGGTTCGGACGTTGCGCAGTACGTTTGAAATTTGCAGCGTTTGTCTCCATTCTAGTCCTTTCCTTCAGCAGAATCAGTAAGTGCAGAGTTCTGGCAATTCCTAAAGAATCTACATTCTGCCACGGCTGACTCTTCGGTGAGGTTTTCGGAAACTGGTATGTGCTCATGTATTGGACTCCCACGTATCAACAAACTTCCGCGGCGGTACTGGGACACTGTTATCCCTGTAAAGGTGATGTTTTCGGGACCATCAGTGACATGGTGAGTATAGAACACTGGTCTATCGGCTTTAGACGGTCATCATCAACTTCAAAACTAGGGGAGACAGCTTCGACAAACAGACTCTGAGTTTGCCAGCTGTGCTGGCAGGATGACGGTGGTAGGGAACCCACTTGCCAAAATAAGAATCCGGAGAGGGGCAGTGTTGGTAAAATTCATTTATGTCACGAGAACGATCATACTGGCTACAGCACTCAAAATGGGTGGATTCCTGTCCAAGCATCACTGCTCGAGTACCAAACTACATTTACCGGACATATATGATCTGCAATGGACGAATGGCATTGGAAGAGTATAAATGTATATAAAGTTCATAAAAGCCAATGAAAGTAGTTGCATTGTGAAACGTATACCTCATAGGTACTGTATTGTATAAACCGAATATTTATGTTAATAAATATAGTTCGAGTTTCCAGTATTGAGTCTTTATATTTATTTGCAAATTTCAAAAACAGAAGAAATGAACTAAAATGTTTTAGAAATCGATCACCTGTGACCGTATTGTTATGAGTGTCAATTAGCGATACTTAGTAACAACACCAAGCAGGTGATCGTCCATAACGACACCATCTACAAAGGTATGGTGACACAGAAATACCGTTGTTACACGCCTCGACTGTGCTGTAATACTTCACTCCAGGGATAGAAGGCATGTGTCATTATGATCTAAAACATATTCACGCATTCCGGGGCTGCGGTAGGTAGTCAAGTTATAGAGCTTTCATTTACGGTAAACCTGGTTTCAATTTTCCGAAATGAGCCGACTGACCGGTCATCTCGTTGACGGTTTTATATAATATTGCAAAACTAAAGGTTTGTGGATGTCCTCCGTTAGCATTTATTTAGCCATAGTTACTTGTCGAAGTCCAACAGACCAGAAGGAGGCTTGACGTCCAAAGCGCCTGGTGAAGTCCAGATACTAATCTAGCCTTGTATCCCAGAGTGAGGGTCGTGAAACCCAAGACCAATAGCTCCTAACTCAGTTGTGCTTTTGATAGTCCACCTGTACTTGGGAAAAGACAAGTGATCGAGGTTTGTTGAGAATATATGATTTGCATACACCAATGTGGATTCAAAGACCTGCCATCCAGGAAGAACACTTGGCTTGACTGAGGGCATAATAAAAGTATGGCAAAAACGAAAATATAATTATACTGTTGAACAACAGGACGGGAGGTGACATGCAAATCTCTATCAATGAAGGTAAAGTGCTCAAACAACAAGTAAAGTAAGCCCTTGGCTGGTGGTATCGGTGGGAGTAAAGGTTTCGTTGCAGCTATAAATGACCAATTATACAGACTAAACGACCACTGCACCTTTAACCTGCCATCTCCGTACCCATGACGCGAGATTGTAAATGGCGAATAACTTGGACATGCAGGGGCAGAAGCTGGGCGTTGTTGGTGGCCCTAGAATTTGAAATTTGAACTTTATATATTAATTGTGCAACAAGAAGCAAACACAACAATTGTTGCTTGTTTGATTCTTCAGTGTTTACCTGAATTCTGATTTCATAGGCATGACCTTCAATAAATGTATCATCAGTAATAATATTTGTAGATTTTGATTACATAATTTCCAAAACAGAGGTGGCCTTCTGTGGTGGCAGGATAGAAATACATTTAAGATGGTAGGGACTCAGTGTTCTGCACTTTCTGAGGTCAGGATTATCTCTCAGTGGATGCAGAAGTGTCTTTGTCACTCAAAACCCAATACTGTCAATCGGGCAGTTGGTGAGATGTACTGCTTTAGGAGAGCTCGCTATCCATTATGACCGATCTTCAGCTGAAAAATATCAAACTGGGTTGAGAGCAGTACAGGCCAAAGAATATTTCCTTTTCAAATGCCGCTGATTAGACAAAGGTTGTCGGTACCATCACTTGGCTGGTGCAATATCGCTGTTGCGGCATTTCCACTGGATAATGTCATCATCCGGTACGCAGCCGTCGGCAGCATGTTCAGACATAGTTGGTTACCTCATGATTATAGACATGATGCCTACTGAGTTGTTTTGCCATTTCATTTAATCACCTTTGATTGCGACACAAATTACCTTCTCAGGGTCTTGATGAAACCCCTCGAAGCGAAACGATAATACGTTCCTTAAATCTTTTGTCCATGCCAGGCGTTTTGACCACGGGAGTTCCCTTCAAACAAAAGGATGAAATGGCAATGGCGAAAATATATTAGCGAACTTCGGTGTTACATTCTCTCTACCTCCCGCATGTTCCGAAAACCAGCTTCATACGGTAACGTAGGAGTATGGCGGTGCAGTAGGCGTACATCTCCATATGGCGCGTAGCAGAGCGGACCAATGTAATGACCATCGCCGAGGATGGGTGATGTGACGCTGGGTGGATTCACACTGGCAGACCTCAAAACAGGGGACTCGCATCACCACAAATCTATTTCAAAATGGTAAAAGAAATACTTTTGGCATTTTCGCTGACGGTAGCGCATATGTAATAAGATTCGGAATCTTCAAGTCAAAATCCTGACCACGGAAACGATCCAGTTCGATAGCAAATTTCCATATCAAACTTGCAGAATATATCGAATCACAGTCCTTACGCCGGGACTGTTGAACCACTCTCTTGATGAACCATGCTGACGTTGTGGCCAGCTGTATTGGTGGTAATGAGAACTCACTCTTTCTTTGCTGTGCGATGAAGTCGCGCTCCATCATGTAACTAGCTTTAGTCTTGTGCCAAGTCGTTCACTGTGGAGATATGCGTCGATATTGGCCCAGAAATTAAACGTAAATCGCATCAAACAGTCATGCCACTTTCTCGTGGCGTGTAAAGGTTTAAATGTCATTTCAAGCACATTTAGAATCAAACTGCCGGGACGGACAGAAGACTCGTACGTGAACGTTTTGATGAGTAGGATCCGGTAGCTTCAGAATACGGAGTGCAGTCGAACGTTACTATTCAACTATTCGTAAAATGACGTTTTATAAGGAAATAACTTCCAGATATATTTCACACAATCATAAATTATGGTATATCAGTGGTTCATTGATATATCTATATGGCTGCAACACTGCCGATATGACTTGTCACCGCTCACTCGCTCGTGAGTATATATCGTACACTGT